AACAAGTGCCACGCTACTAGGAACAAGTGCCTTACTAGTAGTAACAAGAAGCTAGTAGTAACAAGAGCCACGCTACTAGGAACAAGTGCCTTACTAGTAGTAACAATGTTCGCTATTAGAAACAAGTGCATCGCTTCAGGTCTTCCGCCTCTTCGACCGGCTCCACTTTCTGATCGATGGCCGTACCGCCTACTTCGGCCCGGTGAAAGCGCTGGAGACGTACTTCGCCGACCTCGGCTATCCGATGCCCGACCACACCATGCCTGCGGACTTTGTCATGCGCTTGTGCCAGAGCTCAAGTGATTGCGCTAACTGCAAGGTCCCTTACTGCATAGTAGCTTGTTACTACTAGTAAGGCACTGTACTAGTCCCGAAAAAAGGACTTTCCATGGAGTCCGCAATGTTTCACAGCTGAGGTGTATTGACCCACGGGATCCAGAGGGAGCTGCTAACAGACGCGTGGCCATCAGCCACTTGAGCTGCCTTTAAAATAAACTTTAGCGTAACAAGGGGCATCGCTACGAACGGAGCAAAGGACGCTACTAGGGGCTCCTGGCCTTACTACTAGTAACAAGAAGCGACTAGTAACAAAGGGCATCGCTACTAGGGGCAAAGCTCCTAGGACGCTACTGGTAGCTGACAAGTTTGTCAAGTTTGCCCAGCCGCCAAGCCGAAGGGGTGTAGCGGAAGGAAAGGAAGGATGACGAAGATTCTCGAGAAGAAGAAAAGGAAAGGAAAAGAGTGATAGGCCCAAGAAGCATCCCCAGCTGGGCAGCAGAATCAGCCTACTAGGCAACAGCACCATCACAAGTTCACCAACAAGTGCCGTGCCTTTGCCAGACATTGCTGTCTTCAGAAATGTGAACCTTTTCAATGTGCCACGCGAGCATACCAACGCGGCAACACGTCGGCAGTACACACATTGTGCGACTGCAAGCACGACAACGCCACCAGCAAACCTGCTCCGGAACCCGCCCTAGCGTGACCATACCCTCGCACCACCATGACATGTCAGCGTGACAACGCGATTCACGTCGTATCAGCGTGGCAACACCTTTGCCCATCAGAGAGACGCAGCGCATTTGGGTGGCTCCAGCGGAGCCGCAAGTGCACAGTACTCCAGAACTTGCTCCAGAACCTACGTGCTGTTGGGGGAAAGAGCTCAGAGCTTGAAGGGATAGAAGACAAAGAAGAAAAAACAAATAAGAAGGAATAAATTTTTAAGTTGAGAATAGATAATGTATAAACCAGAGGCAAACGGAAGGGTAGTGCACAGAAAGGGTTTTGCAAAAACCTATTCTACTAACATCGTGGAAGGCGCGGGACATTCGTAGAACCCAAGGCTATTCGTGGACAGTTCGTGGAATGGTGGGCCAGTAGGAGAACTGACTGCAACGAAATCCCAGAAACCTTCGCAGAACTTCGTGGAAGGTGTTTTTGATGCACTAACTTTGTATAAACGATTTTTGCTGACCCCCTTTCTCCACACACCCTCCATTTAGCCTTCAATAAAAGCCGGGCTGTTGATGTTGGGGGGTGCCGGGCAGTAGTTAAGTCCAGGCCGCAGCCATTTCCGCCGAGATCAAGAACATAAACAGTGTGTACAAATGGAAACAACATGACGATCTTTAAAATGGGAAATCAACCAATGCTCCAAAGAAAAAAGGCACACCGAAACATCAAAGCCGATTCCTGCAACTGCGCCACAAACTCTCAAGGGAGACGCCGGCATGTGGATCATCCCCGATGCATCCGAGCATCCATTCTGATCAAGTATGCTTATTGTAGGTTAGGGACAAGGTTAGGGACACCGTTTTGTGAAAGTAGCTGGACTTGTTGGACTTGTTTCACTGAAGCCTGGGCTGGCCCGTCGCTAGTGTTTGAAATGTTGTTTTGAAACAATCGGGGCTGCAGTCTTTGTTTCTAGGAGGGGGTACACACAACCACACCTTTTGAAGGAAGGAGACCTACAAAACTCAAGTTTTTCTAGGGTGTGGCAGAGGTTCTTGTACAGGGGTATAGTGGGAGTAAAAGTAATGGAAATAGCAGTCGTAATAGTGGTGGTAGCAGTCGTCGTCGTCGCCGTCGCCGTAGTAGTGATCCTTAACCCTTTGGTTTTTCTAAGCCGGTTTTGATTAGGCCCAGGAAAAGCTTGGTGAGGAGATAGGACATCAAAGATACCAAAGCGTAGATTGAAGAATTGTCCATGGCATGTAAAGCCCATTGTGATCAGGGCAAAGTTGCTGAGGGGAGAGTGTTGAAGCTCAAGTCTGCATATCTGATACCAATCATTTAAAACGAGCACGTGGTGATGAGAGGCTACAGCCTTTCAAGATTCAAAGCCAAACAGCTTTGACCGATATTGAGAACACATGAATACAAATGACCAGGCAGTTGTTCATATTGGAGGAGCAAGAGTGAAACTGAAAATTTTTGTCAATGGTACTACACATTGATAGTGGGCAAGCGAAGATAAAGCTGTTAAATGTTATTGGCAGTGTTATTGGCATGTGGGGACTGGGCGCCAAAGATTACGAAATACGCTTATCGCCCAGGTTTTAGAATGGTTGTTGAAACACGTGCAAGGTAGTTAGCCTTTACTCTCCAAAACAACGCGGGGCTGCAGTTTTTTTGCAGGAGGCGTAAAGAGACAGTAAAAAGATGCGTGTTGACGGGGCTGTAGTTTCTTCCCCACATTGACGTGTGGGGTTTTTGTTTTTAGTGTGTTATCCGCTCCTTCCTTCTCCTTCTTCTCCTCCTCCTCCCGCCTCCCGCTTGTCACCAACCACTCACCAACACATTGTCACCAACAAATTGTCACCAACCACACCAACCAATTGTCATCTACCAACGATTTGCTTGCTAATTGTCTTCTCCAGGGGGTTGGATGTACGCCCGGTGCTGGCAGGCTGCTGGGTCTCCACCGCTGTGGCGCTGTGATTTGCGTGCGTGGTGTTCAAAAACATTGTGTTTTTTTACAGGGTTTTGTGGCCGTGGAAGATCCAAAACTTGAACAGTGGCGAAATGCACAAACTATGGGTTTTACAAGGGTGGTGTCGGTAATGCGCGCCGCGCGGACGTGCATAATCGGAATTTCTTTGGTGATGGGCCCGTGTCAACGCAAAATATGTACCCCAAGATGAGCCAACAAAGGCCCCCCAAGATAGGTCCAAGATGAGTTAACATAGCCCCAAGATGGGCCAACAGAGGGGCCCAACACAGGCCCCAGAGGGCACAACATACGGCACAACATGGGCCCAAGCTGGCCCAACATAGGGCCAAGCTAGGCCAACATGGGCCCAAGATGGGCCAACAACAACAACAACAGCAACAACAACAACAACAACAACACCAACACACCAATTATCGGATACTCCCCCCTCCCGCTCCTCCCGACCGCTTCTCCTGCGCGAAACTTGTTCCCATTTGGGTCATCCGGTCCTATAATTGTTTGTACTTTGTTGTTGTTGCAGTGGTCCTGGCGGCGAGCAACAGTGCCACCGTTCGATCCATCTCACATCGATATTCAGTCATTCTTGAAGCAATGTCTCGAAGCAGCACACCAATTTCGCACGCTCCATGTAAGGGTGGCGCGCACTTAGGAAATGCGTCCTGACTCGATTGCGGTTTGCCACACGCCAGCCTAAGTGACATATTCCTAAGAGTACAGGCGCGAGGAAACCTGAAAGGACAAGGAGTGGAGTCCAACCACATCAATCTATATCTTCCAGGAGGCCTCCAAAGCCGCAGCCCATGAAGTCGAAAATCCCGAAAAGCGAGAGGCGGCGACAGGCGGACGATGTTCGCTCACAACTGCGGAGTGCATTAGCCATGAGAGTGACAGCTTGTGAACAGCATGAGAGTGACAGCTTGTACGTCTGGAAAGTGTCCTTTCCAGATATCAGCCATCACTGCAGCTCTCTTCGTTGGGCAATCAACTGCTATGTGGGGTTGCCCCCGCATCTATTATCAGTAAATTCAGAACTTGACAACCTGAAAACACTTCAAAGGAAACCCTCTGGTTCCAAGGGTTTCACACACACAAAGCATTCAAAGAAGTGACACGCCAATCAACTTGGCTTAAGGCTGAGAAAAGAAGCTTCACTGCTAAGGGCACACGAGAGTTCGCTGTCGTTCAATTCAAGGTGCAACCATAGGCTGGTACAAGCTTCATTTTTGAAGTAGAATTTCATATGTCGAGGTCCTCAGCAGTGGGACCACGCGCGCGCATTTGAAAGCACCGTGGGGGTTTTCACGATCATAGCACATGTGTTCAGTCAATTTTTTCTTCCCTTTTAGGGTATTTAGGTATGTTTTCGTGTTTTTAAAGCCAAACATGGTAAATACAAAACCGGCGAAAACCGCGGCGCCAAACGCGGCATCAGGAGCCACGAACCTGTCTTCGACGGTGTTTCTTAAATTTCTGCCCAAAACCCAAATTACTTTTCTTTTAAAGCATCATGCTAGCAGTGACACTTTTTGAACAATTGAAACGCATTATAGTTTCACGATGTTCTTCTCCGGAGCGTTGCAAAAATTGTTCAATAACCGTTGAAAACATCTAAAACGACCTAGTTTCGTAAAGCAGTTTTTGTTCTCTAAAGCCCTGCGCCACTTTTTTGTGTTTGAATTGTGTTTCGGGAGAAGTGTTGAGGTTCCGTTCAAGTGTGTAAGTGGGAACTGGGATGCACAGGGGGTGTTAAAGTGAGTTTTGCGCGGAGATGGGTTGAGGGCCGGTTCCTTTAAGTAGCTCGGAGTTTTTGCTTCGTCATGCTCACCCAATCCGAGGTGATGCCTGGGACAAGCAGTGGCCCAACGATGCTTTGATTGATCGGGTGCTTACAAGTTGGAAAGACAGAGCCAGTCTGTCAGATGGAATGCAAGGAAGGAAAGAACGGCGTCAACTAGGAACAAGGACGCTACTAGGAACAAAGGGCATCGCTACTAGTAACAAGGGCATTGCTACTAGTAGCAAGAAACTACTAGTAGCTTCTGGGGCAACAAATAATTATATACATCGACCCCACAAAAAAAGGTTGATGTTTTTGCTGCAAGCCTTTAGCCAGAGAAACAAAGAACCATGGCAGACAATCATCTCGGCCCTGCCAGAAGAGCCATGCAAGACTACTAGTTTCTTGCTCCTAGTAGCGATGCCCTTTTCATGCCTTTGCTACTAGTAGCCTCGTTTTACTATAGTAGTAAGGTCAGGAGCTACTACTACTACCACCACCACCACTACCACTACCACTACCACTACTGCTAGTAGTAGCGCATGGGAACCATGGGGGACAAAAGGAGAAAGGCCAAAAATCGTTAATTCAATTCCGCATACGCCACAGCGACGCTCGACACCAGAAACGGGAACGCCACTCCAATGGCGGCCAGGCAACTGACCTCACGAAGCGCTGCAGCGCGCAAAAATATCCTCCGCACTTCAACATGGTGCGTTTTAGGCTTCCAAAGCGTCCCCCAATCCTACGGCCTGATCGATCACACTCGGTTGCTAATGGAGTTGCGAACATGGGGAAGCAATGTCACGCGAACAACGCTCTACCCTCAAACTCTCAAAACGAGAACTATATAGTAGCTTCTTGTTACTAGTAGTAATGGCCTCCTAGTGGCGTCCTTGCTACTAGCACCCTTCGCTACGAATTCGGGAAGAAATGTAAAGATTCATCCTTTTGCCAAACACTGCTTTTGCAATGAGAACGTGCTGGGACAATTTTTGTGGAACGCATAAAACATCAGACATCATCAGACTATGTTCGTTTCAGATTAGGACGATGCCCGTGCAAATGGGGCTCCCATCCAGATGCTTCCGAAGGCTCAGAGAGTTTCCACGTGCAGAGCAAATCATTAGGTTCAAGATTGGCACATGTGACTGTACAGGAAGGATGCTCCTAGTAGTAATGCCAGGAGCCCCTAGTATAGTTGGGGAAAGCATAAGCACTTACGGCAACATTACAACATGACGTTGAAATGACGCATGAATGACGAAAAAACTGGATCTTCTGTTTGACTGAACTTTGTGCAAAGTACGGACTTGGTGAATGCAGCATGCGCAGCATGCAGGAGAAGTCCGAAGTGTTCGACAGCGACCGGCAAACGAACTGGTTTGTTCAATTGGGCCATCTTACAAAGCGGGAAGCGCGCTGGCTGAAATACACCGGTGTGTCACACGTGCTGTTTAAAGATAGTTGAAGATGATCGAAACGTCTTGAGTGTTTCTTTGTTTGTATTGTCACTAAGCCTTTTAAACATGGTGACGTCAAGATTTGGGAACGAGAATAAGAAGAGGAACATGAACAATTTACATGTTGGTTTTCTGAGGTCATCATGAAAGTGCGAAGCAAAGCGGATTTGAGATCAGCATTGCTCCGAACCATTGTGCTGGGAGTTCTATTTGGACTCACCTTCCTGCAGATCGAAAAGACACAATCAGAGACTTGGTTTTGACTCGCTTTTGCAACCCCCTGCAAGACGCACAGCCAAAGCCTGTCGCCGTGAGTGGTGTAGGCTGTGGGGAAGACACCCAAGAAAGAGTGTAGCAGTGTAGCATGATGTAGGACTCATGGAGAGAGAGAGAGAGAGTATTCTTAGCGATGCACGACATATTCCTGTAGGCACTCTTCACGATCAATGGCTGCATTTTCTTTACCATGATGATGGGCGTCATGAACATCGCAGCTTGGAGTAAAGCCGGAACGAGCTGTAGCAACGCGCTAGCCACACATTTGTTTCGACGGCCAAGAAGAAGAAGCCCAATGGCGTGAGAATGCACGCACGAGTTGACGTATCGCAGCAAAACACATGGCTGGAGGCCATTGCTAGTAGGTGGGAGGCCATCGTTGGCAGGTTCCTTTGCTACTAGGGGCTCTTGGCATGGCTAGGAACAAGAAGCTACTAGGAGCTTTTTCGCTATGCTTTCCAAGTTTGAAGGTTGCAGGGAAATTCACGATGAGTGCTACGGCATTACACAATTACCCATCACTGGGATGTCAAAATTCCAATCGCATTCCAACCTCATGCGCACGGCAAAGAAGACCATTTTCCCGACAAGGAACAAGAAGCTACTAGGGGCTCCTGGCCTTACTACTAGTAACAA